AGACAAGAAAGGATAACCTGACTCTGCTGACTGGCAACCTCTGACCACACCCTTTGCAGGACCATAGCTCTTACATAAGTGGAGATCTGGACGTCAGGAATGTGGAAATGGCTGGAAGCTTGTCCGAGGTCTTGTAGAAGGCGTGCCTTACAGACCACTGGTTTTTTCTGATTTCACGTTGCAGATTTTCAGTATAACAAAGGATGTCTACTTTGCACGTAAGGACAAAATACAGAATTTTCGGTCTATAAATGCAGAATAGTGTTTAAGGAAACTCAAGTTTGCGCAGTAAAATAACTTCTTAAACGAAGGATTAATAGTTTGGAACAAAAGCTTCTGATTTTAAGTGGCTTGCAAAACTTAAAACAAACGAGATGAATTATGATTTGGATTTATAACTCTGGTAAATTCAAAGGAGGAAGGGCTGTACGCAATCTCACTGCTCCTACACATAGCTAGGTGCATGGTCATTAAATTGCTCTGACAAGTCGAGTGAATCCCATGTCTGCATTCTGACAATTGTTTTTTGAAAATTAAAATAAATTTTAAGAATGAACACAAGGCTGGGCGCAGTGGCTCACGCCTATAATCCCAGCACTTTGGGAGGCAGAGTTGTGTGTGGACCATGAGGTCAGGAGTTTGAGACCAAACTGGCCAACATAGTGAAACCCTGTCTCTACTAAAAATATAAAAATTAGCTGGGCATGGTGGTGCACACCTGTAGTCCCAACTACTGAGGCTGAGGCAAGCCAATTGCTTGAACCCAGGAGGCAGAGGTTGCAGTGAGCCGAGATCGCACCACTGCACTCCAGTCTGGGCAACAGAACGAGACTCTGTCTCAAAAAAAAAAAAGAATGAACATAAATGACTACATGTAGTCATATAAAATTTTTTTTAACTGGCCCAGGCTCTCTTCTCCAAAATGGCAGTAAGCAACCAGTCAGTCACCTGGTACAGGAAGTCAGAGTCAGCTGGGGCAGGGAATGGGATCCACTGAAAACCAGCAGTTCAACTACTTGTTATTCATTTAACTACTTATTATTCAACTTTTTATTATTAACTACTTACTATCCAACCACTTATTATCCAACTATGTATTATTCATTCAACTACGTATTATTCATTCAACTAATTATTCAACTTATTATTCAACTATTTGCCTACTTATTATTTGACTACTTATTATTCGACTATTATTCAACTACTTATTTGACTACTTATTATTCGACTGCTTATTATTTGACTATTTATTATTCGACTACTTATTCAACTACTTATTAGTTACCTTGACTTCCTCATCTTTAACGTGAGATGATGACCTGCTAGTGACAGCTTGGTCTTGAAGAGATTGAGTGTAAAAACACTTTTTAAAAAAAGTTTAAAAAAAAAAAAAAGTTTAAAAAACTTTTTAAAAAATCATACAAAATTACAGCACTGTTGCATCCAACCAACTCCTTCAAGGACACAAAACCATTACTTGTTATGGTTTGAGTTTGTCCCCACCAAAACTCATGCTGAAATGTGATCCCCAGAATGGCAGCGCTGGGAGAGGGGCTGGGAGAAGGGTGTGTTGTCAGGTGACGGCAGCACTGGGAGAGGGGCTGGGAGGGGTGTGTGTCGGGGGCGGCAGTGCTGGGAGAGGGGCTGGGAGGGGTGTGTGTCAGGGGGCGGCAGCACTGGGAGAGGGGCTGGGAGGGGTGTGTGTCAGGACGCGGCAGCGCTGGGAGAGGGGTGTGTGTCAGGGGGTGGCAGTGCTGGAGAGGGCTGGGACAGAGGTGTGTGTCAGGGGCAGGCAGTGCTGGGAGAGGGGCTAGGGGAGGGGTGTGTCAGGGGGCGGCAGTGCTGGGAGAGGGTTTGGTAGAGGTGTGTGTGTCAGGGGGCAGCAGTGCTGGGAGAAGGTTTGGTAGAGGGGTGTGTGTCAGGGGGCAGCAGTGCTGGGAGAGGGGCTGGGAAAGGGGTGTGTGTCGGGGGGTGGCAGTGCTGGGAGAGGGGCTGGGAGAGGGGTGTGTGTCGGGGGGTGGCAGTGCTGGGAGAGGGGCTGGGAGAGGGGTGTGTCAGGGGGC